CGGGTGATGCTCTCCCTCACTTCGGGGCGATTAGGCTTCCCGGCTCCGTGCCCCTGAAGTAATAGACGCGGGGGAGACGGGGTGCGACGGGGCGCCCCCTCCCGGCTGCCTCGTTCCCTGGCGCCCCCGGAGCCTGCACCGCCGGCCGTCCTCTGTGAGACCCCGTTGGCGCGGACGAGACAGTCCTAGTATCCGGTTACTTTTAGTGTAAAGCCACAGTAACCTGGAGGACTAGGTGTTTTTTGAGGGACATGCTGTCGGGCGCAAGGAGGGGGGCCCCACAGTCTCTCTCAAACTGAACGGCCGGCCGAGGGTTAGAGGGTGGGGCAGGCGCGTCCGCGGGAGCCCTGCCCCCTCCGAGCCGGGCGCTGGGGTCACTCTCCGGGGAGATCCCTTACCCGCTGGCTTGATCAGTGCGGGGAGATCCCTTACCCGCCGGCTTGATCAGTGCGGGGAGATCCCTTACCCGCAGGCTTGATCAGCGCGGCCCCTCGTTTTTCTCTCGCGGGCATGTTCCTATTCTGCTTCATGACTAATTTTGTAATTTTACTTCATGTTTCTCCACGAGTGTGAAATAAGTTGATTCCTACAGACAGCCTCGTGCATTTTCTCCTTGGCCTTTGAATTTACCCAAACTCAGGAGGAGAGTAAAAGGCCCGTTATTATTTCCTGTTCCTTGATAAAATGTGCACACAGCCTGGCCAGCGCAGCTCAGCGGTTGGGCGTCCACCTGGGATCCAGGAGATCGAGGTTGGATTCCCGGTCGGGGCACAGGCCGGGTCGCGGCTCGGTCCCCAGCAGGGGGCGCGCAGGAGGCGGCCCGTCAATGATTCATCACTGATGGTCGTGTCTCTTCCTCTCCCTCTCTGAAATCAATAAAAATATANCTTTCCTCTCTCTGAAATCAATAAAAATATAAATTTTTTTTTAAATGCACATAAACCACACCTCCCTATGCCCCCACGGTTGAATTCACAGTGTGTTTCTCTTCATGTGTTTCAATCCCCATGGTCAGGATTTACCTCTCACTGTAGTCAGGTGACTCCAGTAGTAAAAACCACATGAATCCAGTAATCCACTTCCTTTGTAGACCTGTCTTCGGCCCTGTGTGCTGTTCAACCCATGATGAAGAACAGAATTTGGGGTGGCTATCTGCTGGGCCTGTGCCCAGGGCCTGTGCGGAACCTGGCTGCCGTCGTGGCTGACAGACTGGGTGAGGGGGACGCTGGCTGTGGTAGCGGGAATCATCCTCCCCTCCAGTGCCCAAGGAGTCTGTGCGTGTTGAATATGCTTGTATTTGGATTGGCCCCAACTGAAACCATGAGGCCCTCTTCTGTACCCACGCTTAAAGCCCTAATGCGCCTGGTGTTCTGGTCCCATGTACTAGTCTGCTGTGCGTAATGATGGTGGACGAGCTCCCATTCAGACCCTCTGGGGAGAGTAGATTGCAGACCTCAGCTTAGGCCCGGGCTGCCATGAGGCTGCTGCTTTCCATCACCTTATGCTTGATATTCACGTCACCCGGGAGAAGGGTTAGAGCAGGCCTGGAGGCCTCTGGCCAGCGAACTGCAGAGCGCATGTCTGCCTTACCTGCACCCTGTTGCATGCCCAGCGCAGAGGGGGGCGGGGATCGCCCAAGGAGAGGGCATCCCCAGAGGTGCTACTGTACAGCAACAGAATTGTTCTGAGCAGAGGGCACAGGACGAAGGGCTCAGGGTTACAGGGACGGGAAGAAGAGGGCACAGGTGGTGTAAGAGGATTCCTGCCTCCTGGGTAGCCCGGACTGTCAGTACACTGTAGCCCAATGGATGGCGCACAGTGCCGCTGCCAGTGTGCGAAAATGCCTGATTTTCTGCACCTGCTGCAGAACTGGCTTCTCTCTCTTTCAACTTCAGCAAATCCGAAAAGGGAAAAGTATCTCATTGTTACTTTTGCATTTCTTAGCAAATTTGAACATCTTTTCAAATGTGTGTTGGCCACTTGTGTTTCTTCTTTTGTTACTTGTGATTTCAGTGGGTTTTTTGGATTTTCTGTTGTTGAATTTGTAAGAACTCTCTGTATATGAGATATTGTGACACTTTGTAATGTACTGGAAATATTAAGGTTGTGCCTCTGCAATGAACATAGGGGTGCATATATTCTTTCAATTATATTCTTTTGAATTAGTACATCTAGGATATGTTATTTTTATGTTATGTATATGTATATATGTATGCATATGTATATATACATTGTAGGAAAAAAACTATGCAGTGACTAAATTCTCAATTTATTTGCCAAATGCTGCATTCCAGTTTAATATATATTCTCTTAAGTGTATCTAGCACTTATGGATCATCTCTTTCTCTCTCTCTGGTCTTGAGTTTGAACATTTGTCACAATTAAAATGCTCTAATGGAAAAAACTGTGCCTTGAGGAATGAGAGGCAGATTATATCTCAAATGAGAATAACTCAGTGAGCAAATGTTTATTATGAGTTTCTAAATAGTGCTCTTATACAGGTACCTGCTTTTAGTGTCTCAAAAAGATTGTTTTATGACCCGGTAGTTATAAAGCGGGCCTTTTATTACACGCCAGTGCATGCTTGGTAGAAAACTTTGACCTTTGATGCAGTCCGTCCACATATGCCCTGCTGAGCAATGTATTGTCCCCTTCACCTAACCAGTCTTTTCATCTTTGCTATTTGTTCACACACAGTTATTCTTTCTATGCCCAGGTGGAAACCCTGGAGCCATCCATTTATCTTTCCAAGCTGTGGTCTGTCTGGTTCTCTTGCTCTCTTCCCAGAAAGTTAGCCCCATCCCCCCACTCAGGCCGCTCCTCCACCTCGGGTTATTGCTGACATACTTAGCCCAGTGTTAGAATGATTTGATGTACACATGCTTCTGCCATTAGACTGGGAGCTCCTCAAAAGTAAGATGTAGACCTGACTGACTTTTTACCTTCAGACTCTACCACAGCTTGGGTCTCAGTAAATAAGCACGCAATTAATGTTCATCATGCTTGGTATTTTTATTTCAAAGGTGGTGATGCTCATCTTATAGTCTATTGATAGATTAACATTTTTACCCCAGCTTTTTTTAAAGGAAAAATTCCAGAACTTCAGGGGAGTTGAAAGAGCACCACAAGGATCACCCATATTCTTGCTTCCTAAACCTACCTATTGGAAATCCTGTCACCCTGACACATGGCTAGTCCTCTGCCCAGAAACTACAGTGACTACGCCTGGCCATTGGGTCAGATGTAAACTACAGCATTAATTATTCTTAAATGGTTGCAGTCTATCATTCACCTACATTGTCCTGATTCTTGCTTTGTTGATTTTATACAGGTTATTTCCCTGTGTAGCACAGCTTCTCTCTCTGCTTGATCCAAAACTTTTACACATGAAGCGTTCTGCGTTCCATAGCTCTAACTGCCGTCTGCTATTCCTTCATTCTGTGTAATTCCAGACTATATATCATTAGCCATTTGGAGGTGAGTACTGGGTCCTGTTTTGACCTGGTTTCCTTTATAGAGCCTAGTGTGCTGACTTTTGATTTGGACCACATCTTCAATAGTATTCCTGATATATTTGTACTATAATTTGAAAGTAACACTGATTTATAATACCTATGTTGCCCCAAACAGAACTTATGCTCTGTTAGAGAGAAACAATAGCTTTTAAGTCCAAGCCAGATAACCTGGATCTCTTTGATCAGCTTGCTGCAAGATTTCCCCCGAAGAAAGGAAAGATGTTCTATCTATCATGTTGGTCACTCCTTCTGTGATTGTTCCCAAGAACTGATTTGTGCTTGTCCTTTGGAGTCATTAAAGCAATCCAAGTACAAAGTTAGAGTAAGTAAGTCTAAAGTCTGAAAATTGCCCCCTGAGAATCACTGGGTCGAAGAGAGTCACATGAGAAATATTTTACAGGGAGGCCATTAAGCCTGAGTGACTGATACCATTTGTGGGCCTCCAAGAAGACTCTTAGTTTTTAAGGTTGGTAACAGAGATAAGGGTGATATGCCTGAGCAAGGTGGGGAAAGTGGGAAAGAAACTGATGCTGGGGGATCACCTCTATACTGAAACATGAAATCGGACTGTGTCAGTTCCCTGCTCATAATGAACTAGTGACTCCCAGTGTTTATTGGACAAAGCCCAGTTCCTTTGTAATCAGGGGCCTTAGTCAGTAGACACCAGCTCATTCCCAG